GCAGCCCGGGCTCGCGCCACCCGCCCGGCGCCACTACAGCGAGGCGGCGGCCGACCGCGAGGACGACCCCAACTTCTTCAAGATGGTGGAGGGCTTCTTCGACCGCGGCGCCAGCATCGTGGAGGACAAGCTGGTGGAGGACCTGCGCACGCGGGAGAGCGACGAGCAGAAGCGCAACCGCGTGCGCGGCATCCTGCGGATCATCAAGCCCTGCAACCATGTGCTGAGCCTGTCCTTCCCCATCCGGCGCGACGACGGCTCCTGGGAGGTCATCGAGGGCTACCGGGCCCAGCACAGCCAGCACCGCACGCCCTGCAAGGGAGGTGAGGCCGCCCGCGCCGGCCCCGCGCCCCGGGCGTGGCAGGGAAAAAAAGGCGCCGGGGAACCGTGCTTTTCCCCCCGGGCCCGCCACGCCGCTGGCCCCTCCCCGCGGGGCGATGCCCTGTGCAGAGCGGGGGCGGCGGGTCCCTTCGGCCCCCGCGTCTGTGTCGCGCGGGTGGGTCCCTCGGAGAGGCCTTTCTGGAAGAGGCGCCTCCCGTTCTGCCTTGCGAGTTTTCGTGGGCTCGTATGACCTTCCCCGAATGCGGACTATGGAATCGTTTCATGTCTGCATTATTTACGCCGGTTAAAGCTATCGTATGATAAACGGACATGGGGGGAAATTGACAGTTTATTAACCAGAGCAGTTTACTTATCACGTTAATCTTTCAAACTAAGTTTTCTTTCCACTCTGGTAACCTGCCTTGTACAAAAAGAAACAATGAAAACGCGAAACCCCGGGCAGGGCAGCCTCACCGACTAATAAACACCGGGCGTCCTGGCAGTCCCTCTAGGGTAAGCCGCGAGGCCTGCCAGCCAATGGAATGAAATAGCCCTGGGGGTGTGTGCTGGTCCTGGCAGCGCAGATTGGAGCTCGGGAAAAGATACAGTGCGGGAAGATAGCAGTGGAGTCACTTAGGATTTGCGAGTCATCGCGTTACCCTGTGCGCGCACGCTTGCTGGTCCGTAGATTTGGCTTCTGTCGTGAGACTGCTTTCTTCGAAGCCCTTCCTCATTTTCCCTCCCAGTGCAAGGCACAGCACATCGTTAAAGGTGCTTAAGTCATCCAGAATAGAAAAGGCAGAACCATTTTTTGTGTTGTTAGAAAGAAAGGAAGAAAAAAGCCGAGAGAAGGAAGGTGAGGGGTCTTGCAGAGGTGGTTTGGCCCAATGAAGAACAGGGCTCGGCTTGGATTGGTCCCCCCTAAACCCGGTCCAGTGCTCTTTCTGTTATGCCAGCTGACATCTAACGATAATTTTTAGAAATCTCCCAACCAGGAAAACTTGAGCTACTGTTTCCAGGGGTGGAACAAAGGTTGTTTCAAGTAGGTTTAATAGTTTACTGAATTTGCATCGGCCCCACCCACTTGGAGAACTTAACCTTTGGAGCGAAATTGCCCTCTAGCTCTAGTTCCTCCTCAAGCCACTGTGACCTCTAGTTCCACGTCCAGCCCCGAAATTCTGTAAGGCCCCTGCGTTGCCAGCGCCTTCCTTCTTCCTACCACTCCCTTATTCTCCAAACACCTTCCTGGTCCCAAGAAAAGGAAACAGCTGGAGGAAGAGGCAACTACCTGACAGCAAATAGAAACTGCACTGTTTCTTTAAAATGCACATCACATTCCTTTACTGTCTTGTCAGCAGCGGTTTTCGGTCATTTAACGATGCACAGATAAACCAGCGCGTTTGTTTTTCTGCACGTTCTGATTTTTTTTTTCATTTAAGCTCTTCACACGCTTCTGTATTTCAGATGCCCGGTCCTCTCTAAGTCATAGCTACACAAACTTACTGAGGCCACTGCAGTTTGTCAGCCCTGAGGTTTTAATGCCAAAGTCCAGAACCTAGCAACAAATTGCATCCGCTCTAGCAAAGCTCCGTCACTGTAGCCTTGCCTGGACTGGGATGTAAGTGCAGGTCCGTACCCGGTCTACCAGCAAGCTCCAAGGAGCGGCGGTCAGCGCCCAGCCGGTGATAGATAGCAAAGAGAGAAAGCTGGCCTTCATGAGGTGATACATTTATTATCTTAAAGAATTCTAGAGACTTTATGGAGAGAATAGGATGGGGGTCAGGACCGCTATGAAAGGTCTTCAAAATATTTTTAGTGTGCTTAAGATAATAAACAGTGTACTGGGACCAGCAGTTAGCGTAATGGCTATGTTGCTGAGCTCGCACATAGTCGACCGTGGTTCGAGTCCCCAACCCAGTGGCTTAAACTCACGCCGGGCACGTGTGCATGCGTGCCCAAGATCCCGAGAGGAGAATGGAGGAGAAGGGATTGCAGCGTGACCATCCCCCCTGGGGGGTGATTTCTCGCTTTCTCTCTCTGTCTCTGTCTGGCGAGCACACGCGCCCTATAGCAAAAACCTCGCCAAATAAATAAATAAATAAACTGTGTACTCAATAAATTTGGTACTGTAGACTTCCATGGTTTGCTTTCAAGACTCTACCCGTTTGTCACCCTTGTCTAACTGCAGAGAATGTGAATTCTAAGAAGAACTTATTTTCAGTGGGTATTTTTCTCCACTCAAATATTTAAAGAAAGCTTTTCTTTCTAGTAAGAAAGTTGTTGATCCTCTTGGTCCCACTTGGGTCTTAGAAATACAAAATATAATAGATTCAGTGATTGAGATATTTGTAAATGCTTTGGCTAATCTCTGCAAACCTTGGTAAATCTTTCCCTCTTAAACATATTTTAGCATACTCTTCCCTGTCCCTTCCACTAAACTGTCTTCTTTGACCATGTTCTTAGTAAAAACAGAAAACAAAATAAAACTTCCTCTAACTTTTCCCACCCTTCAGCTTTCTATATCTAATCTTTCCTCAAGAACAACCTTATACCTGAGTTTTCTAAAATAAAATTTTCAAGGTTAAAGCAAAGCAACAAGCAAATGACTATCTCTGTA